ACATCAGGCTGGTAGGAGGTGGCTGTTTTCGGTAAACTGGCAGGTGGCAGAGCAGGCAGCTTTTGACTGGGTCTCTGAGGTCCAGCTGTGCCAGCGGTGAGGCTGGCCAAAATGCTGGCTGCAGTCTTACTCTACCAGCATTATCCGTCTCAGCATTTCCTTCTTCAAGAAATTCTGGGACTGCTTGAGCGGTCCTAACAGGGTCAGATACAGGCTTCCTGCTCCAGGGGTGCTTGGCGCTTGGTTATCTCTGCAGGGTCTTTCCTTTCAAGAGCTTGGCCTAAGCAGTTCCTCCAATCCCAGCACCGACACAGACCTCATGCCCTCCAGGGACACTGATGGCAGACCAAGTTCCACACAAGCCACAAGGACCTGAGTGTGAGCTACTTACTGTATGCACCTGACACCCCACTGTGGGCAGGCTTGGGCCATCTCACACTTGGAGCTGGGAATAGATTTCGCCTGATTTCTTTATTTTTTCTTTTTATTTATTTTTTCCTTTTCTTTTTCTTTATTCTCTTTTGTTGTTGATGTTGTGCTTTCCATATCTGCTCATCCCATCTCCCTCCTCCGTGCTAGCCTCCATAAAACGCCATGTGGGGCTACGTTCAGTTGATACCCATTGACTGACCAGACCGTTCGCTTTAAGAGAACGTTGTGAACTAGGGTAGTATTTCTTGAAAGGGCTGCTGGCTCTCTCGACCATTAACATCCTGGCATGAATCATCTTGCTGGCTTGCTTCCAAACAGGACAGAAAAAGGCCTTGATTTGGACTATAGGTGGGGCGAGGGGTGCGTCAGCACAACAAGTGGGGTGGAAACCAGGGAAAAGAGGTCTGACCACGAGGCATAAGCGGGTACAGACACCTCATCAGCTGCCATCATTGTGTGCCCTTTGTCCCACTTTTCCTGGCGGAAAGGTCATGGTGGAAACTTTAAAATAGCATTACCATCTTTCCCTGAGCAGTCTGGGGGGACAGCGACACCATCATCTCCCGTGAAGACTCTGTCTTCACTATGCAAATGCCAGGAATCAAAAATGAACCTGACATTAATCTCTAGAAACCTGGCTTTGTGTTGATGGCCAATGCTACAATAGAGAGAATTTGAATTTTGCCAGGTATGAATCTGGGGAGGCCTCAGATCAGTTTTAGGGTGAAAAGCCCATTTTTGCACATTACTGGTGGCCTAAAACTCCTGGGATGCAGAAGTGACCCCTTCAGTCCCTTCAGAGTGCTGGGCTCTTCTTGGAAGAGAATTTAAGACAATCAAGTGATATTTGCACTCATGTTCCCGCCAGAATGTGTTCTGTCCCCAGCCCAGTGTGGAAGAGAGTACCATAAAGCCATTGTTCCAGTCGGCTTCCTGTGATACGAATCTCAACTGCGGCCCCGACTCACAGCCTGGGTTTCTCAGTGTTGAGGCTTCCTCTCCAACATTCCCACACACAACAGCCTACTGTGAGAATCAAAGGGAAGTGTGGTACTAAGGAAAGAAGAAATCCTAAAGCCAAGCCTGGTATGTTACAGCCGTTTGAACTCTGAGGCCTACAACCTCAACTTACACAGAGAAGGAGTTTGCAGTTTGTTTTGACTTGGGAAAGTGTGTGCCCTAACACTGGGACTGCTGAAGGGTGGGTCCAAGGACATTAGTTTCCCCCTGGTTTTTCTTACATTTCTCCAATTTATTGAAATTATTTCTAAACTATAACTTGCACAGCGGGCTAGTGACTAAGGTCTTTCATATCATCCAACACTGTTGCGGGTGAATATCATCATTCCCTCTGTGCTATAAAGAAACCAAGGCCAAGGCAGAGAAAGATGTGTACAAAGTTGCAGGGAGAGATGGCAGCCACACTAATACTCCAAATTCGGGAGGATATCGGCTCAAAGATTCTGTCATCTTTTAGTCATGTACAAAAACCAAAACAGAACAAAACATAAAAACTTAGGACTCAGGGTTGACAAGATGGCTCTGCAGTGTGAGTTGGATCCCTAGAGTCCATGGTGGGGAGAGAGAACCAACTCCCAAAAGTTGTCCTCTGACCTATACA